CTGAAATGCTTTTAAATAAAGTAACAAATCACTGCTAATGATTTTTTATAAAAACATTAATGAATAATATATATTTTTTTATACTTATGTAAGTATCTATTTTTTATTATTTAAAAAAAAAAAAAAATTCCACCAATTTTTAAATAAACGATTTAATTTTTTCTTTAGTACAAAGAATTGTTAAGAATTGTTGAACTTGTATATGTGCGCTTTATTAAACAATCGCTAATTGTAAATTGTTACTTTATTTAAAAAGCATTTCGCATATTATATTATAAAAACATTAGTAAAGATAAACAACTCAAAGTTGGGTCATTCCATATCAAATTACCTAATGGTAAACGGGTACCACTTCAAATTTGCTTCAAATTTTGACCCCCAACAGCTTTTATGAAAAAAACACAATCCTGCAAATTTCAGCTTGATTGACCAAACCGTTGAAAAGTTATAAGCGAATTAATATTGACCGAAAAATTTAAATATCTGGAGTGTACAGTGGATTTTTTTGATTTTTAGCATATCATAACTTTTTAAATAAAATAGATGATCACCTGAAATTTTCAAGGGTAATAGTTTTTCACCTAAATTTTCTATTTTTGCAGATGTTTTTGACTGATTTTAAACAATTTTTGAGTTCTTATACCTTGAAGTTGCTAAATAACGCAATATTAGAAAAAATTTTGGAAACTTAAATGTGCTACAGTTTAATACCAACAGACAAGCTGTGCCAATTTTGTTACTTTTATGTACTTAGAATAACCACTTGTGAAAAAAATTAAAGTTATGTGTTCAAAGTTATTTAAGCACTTGCAGCAGCTTGTTAAAATATCACTTTTGTAAAAAAATAGGATAAATAACATTCGCTTTGTAGGCATAGAAAGTAGCGTAGACAGTTAAAATAAATTATGAAACTTTTTACTGGCAAGGTTCTATATAAAGACAATCACCAAAAAAAAAAAGACCTATAAAAGACCTATACTCTATCTTATGACATAATTTAAGCATTTTAAGTGCAATGCTTTTTTAGTTTAAAAGGATACCTAATAGCGCAAGTTATATTATATTTCAAAAAAATAAAAATGCTGAAATAAGAAGTGTATATACACAAAAAACATAAGTACACTAATTTCTTTACCTCTGATTCACATAACTTACAATACTATCATAATCATTATTAGCAAATATGTAGTCATGAGCAACTCTACCCTTAAAGGATGGAGCACTTATTTGACAAATTACTTTGTCAAATGGAACCCAACACTGACTTGATCATTAGTCCATTTCAAATTTAATTTGTTTCTATGCATGAATTTTACATTAACATCATGGTTTTTATTACAAATCTCAAGCACAAGCCCTATGTACCGTTTATCATTGTAAAAACATGCAATGTTTTTACCAGGTTGAAAGTTTGAAGGATCTTTTACTATCTATGGTTCTTCTTTTTGAAGGATCATTGATAGTATCGCTAGAGATTCTGTAAAAATAATTTCTCTCCACCTAGTACAAGAATGTGCTTCTTGTGCCTGAGACTGTTCTCACCTCTTCATACCGTTTCTTTAGGTTAAAATAAGTTTTATGGTTATTGATATCATCACTTGAAATGTAAAATATGTTAACACCTTGAAAATAAACAGAAAATGGATGTAAGATAGCTTGATCAGCTTGCCAGTAAAACCCTTGTACAACATCTTGCACAAGAAAACTATAGTTCTCTGCAAAATCCATAAGAATAAGAAAAGTGTGTTGATCTAATGCTCTTTTAGCCTTTAATTAGTAGGAGGATTGTGCTTCTTTGATAAAGTGGTGGTTCTTTGATAAAATGGTGCACCACTTTGGCCTTAGTTCACAGAACATGCTGAATCCAACTTTGCGTTTAGGGTATAACTTCTTAAACTCAAGATAAAGTTCCTTTAATCGAACTAATATTAAAAGTTTTTGTTTATGAACTTTTATATTATTTACACTCTTTGGATTCATAAATTTCAATGACTTTTTGTTTAACAATATCTCGCAAAGACTGTCCTATTTTAGCCTCAGGTTTAGCAAGCATTCCTTTTTCATTTTTCAACATTCGAGCTTTCTTAACATGATGTTCTGAAACTAAAAATGTTTTGCAAGTTTTTTTCAATTGACTAACTATCAGGAGTTGGTGTTAGTAGTTAAACTTTTTTTTCCTTCGAACTTATTTTCATTTTATTTTTTATTGTATCTAACAGTTTGTCAAATCATTACAGTCTATACATTTTTCCTCTTTTTCTGATACTATATCTTTTGGGTCTCTATCCAATGCTGACGCTACTAGATTTGTCATACTTAATGCGATTTTTTTAGCTATTTCTGCATACACAAAACTTTTTATTTTTTGGTTTTTACAATATTAAAAACTAAAATAAGAAAATGCAGAAAATACTGTACAGATTTAGATTTTATTACAAACTCTAGAATTGAAGTATTTTACACTCAAATTGTAATCATGTGAAAATTATATCATTATAATTATATTATATGCATAAAATTAAACAAATACATATTATAAAACCATATCAAATAAATTTAAGACACTGATAATGTTATTTTAGCTACAATCATGTCATAAAATACTGTATAGGTCTTTAAATATTTTTTGGTGATTGTCTATATATAGAACCTTGCAAGTAAAAAGTTTCATAATTTATTATAACTGTCTACGCTTCTTTTTATGCCTACAAAGTGAATATTATCCTATTTTTTTGTAAAAGTGATATTTTACCAAGCTGCTGCAAGTTCTTAAATAACTTTTAACACATAATTTTAACTTTTTCCACAAGTGGTTACTCTAAGTACATAAAATTAACTAAAAATTGGCACAGCTTGTCTGTTGGTATTGAACTGCAGCACATTAAAGTTTCCAAAATTTTTTCTAATATTGTGTTATTTAGCAACTTCGAGGTATAAGAACTCAAAAATTGTTTAAAATCAGTCAAAAACACTTACAAAAATAGATAATTTAGGTGAAAAACTATTACCCTTGAAAATTTCAGGTGATCATCTATTTTATTTAAAAAGTTATGATATGCTAAAAATCAAAAAAATCTACTGTAAGCTCCAGATACTCAAATTTTTTCTGATTTTGGTCAATATTAACTCACTTATAACTTTTTAAGGGCTTGTTCAATCAAGCTGAATTTTTCAGAATTGTGTTTTTTCATAAAAGCTGTGGGTGGTCAAAATGCAAATACTATATTTTGAAATCTATACTTGAAATCGCCATCAGGCAAATCAAAAATCAACAAGATCAAGTTGTCCTCTTAAAGATTAAAGTTATTAACTGTAATAGAACGAACTACAATTCCTTTATGCACAGATTTCCTTGAGTTTTCAGTACACCTACCACATTTTACATTTGTTTGTAAAACTCTTTTTAATTAAAAATTAAAAAAAAAAAAAATAATTTTATTCATTTTATTCACAAGGCCACAGAGGCCACTATAGTCAAGTAGGCTACTTTTTTTAAATTGTGGTTAAACTCTTTCTTAACTCTGAAACATGAATCTTGACGTACAAGGCTACTGCACAAAATATGGCTTTCAAAGTGTTTTTAGAAATAAAGTGTTTTTAAAAGACCAAACCTTAAATATACACTTTTTGTTTGGGCTCCTTATTTAAAGTGATATATCCTTGTTAACAACTATGTTAAAACAACAAAATGGGCTTCAAACTCTTCAAACATATTCAATACTGCAAATGATTACAACTTGATTTTCAAAATCTAAAAAAAAAAAAAAAACAGTGAAACCTAATCCAAATAAAAATAAACTAATACATTGTTATGATATAGTTAATGATATAAATCTTCCAAAACTTATTAACTCTTGTCATGTGGTCATCATTTAAAAATAATACATGAGTGTATTCTAAACTGCTTTTGAAAGACAACCAATTATATAATACATATGCAAAATTCTGGGACAAATTAACTGAGCAAGTAACTTTTAACTCCACTGAGCATTCATTTAAATGTAAACTCCTGATTGGAGAAATATTTTAAACAAATATTTATAAACAAGTTGTTTAAAGTGTTAGTGTTTTCCCAGTTCACTGTATGTATATTTTACAGCTACAACTATAATAATACCCAGTTCACTGTATGTATATTTTACAGCTGCAACTATAATAATACATAAATACTTCAAATGCTTTCATATTATTTCAATAATTTAAAACTTTTAATACTACTTGCATTTTTTGCTTAGTTATTTTCTCACCACCAAAATATGTAAAATTCAACTTTATTTTTAAAGATTTTCTTCAGAGTTCTGCATTTTTATTGATTTACTAATAGATGTTTTATGCATTGCAGGTTAAGTTGGTGTAGGGATATCTATATATATACTCTAATAATTTTTGACTGTTGCTGATGTAAAGGAACTTAGATTAGTCTGTTTTACTAAAATGTAATTTTGGGTTAGAATATTATATTTTTATTCTCAATTTAGGAAGAAGCTCAAAACTGTCAACAGTAAAAATGTGCCATTCATTTTTTATTATCAGAAGTTCCTTACGGTGCTAATACATTGAGTGGAAAAAAAGATGCTACATTTTTGTTAGATAAAGAAAGATGTTCTACTGCTTGAGACACAGATGGATTCTTTTATTTGAACTGTTGTTGCATGAACAACTTTTCCTTGTGATCTGATTTTCATAAAACTGTTTGTCTTTATTTGCCAACCAAAACTGTTTATCTTTATTTCCCAAATGCTATATTCTTACGTAATACCAAACTTTATTTCATATTTTAATTTGAGCCCATTTATTACCAGAATTTAAAAACATATAAGTTTGTTAATTTTATATAACTATATTAACTGATTTAATGTTTTGGGGTGGCTTTTATCAATGAAAGAAAAAAAGTGCTATATAGCACATATTAGGATTAATTCTTATCAGGTAAGGCTATGGCCATGTTAAGATTTAAACAAAAAAGAAAATGTTTTAACCTTAATATATAAATTTCATACCTGACTTTATAACAGTATTCGTTATCTATATTCCATAAAATAAAACCAAAAGCATAACTAAAAAAAAAAATAAAAAATAAAATTAGGAATATAAATATTTTATTTAACGCTATTATTATTATTTTAAAATATTTAAGATAGATATTTATTATTTTAATATTAAATATTCATCTTTTTTCTTCAAGTTTCCTATAAACAATACAAAACAAATATTTGTAGTTCTTTTTTTATTTAACTTTTTTGTACCTTTTTTTTATTAGGACAAGTGTTGATAAATAAAGTGATGATAAAAAATTAAGATAAATTACTTTTTTAAACAATAATAAAAACTCAAACAATTATAAAAACTAAAAAAAATCATTAAAAACAAAACTAATAAAAAATTATTAAAAAAAAAAAACTGAAAAAATTATTAAAAAAAAAACACAACTGAAAAATTATGAAAATAGAGTTTCACTTGAATAAGTTGAATAATTCTTGAGAATAAATGTGAGCATTCAAAATTCAACAGTGGAAACAGGAAAAAAAATGACAAACAATTTTGAAATCTGAGAAAAAAACACAAATAGTGATCAAAGTAAGTGATCGGAATCATCAGAAAAATAAAAAATAAAACAAATCTATCTGAAAAAAAAGATTGAGACAAAAATTTTGAGTTTTAGAACCAGTCAATGGTGCTATTTAGTATAATAATCTATTAAGTCAACAATTAAAAGATTAATTTAAAAACAAATTAATCTTTTAATCATCACTTTAACTTTAAGTAACATCTTCAAAGGATTTAGCTGAAACTACTTTGCAAAGTTGTGGATTTATAAATATTTTTCTTGATGTTACCTTCTCTTTTATAACAATAATATTTGTAAAAAATATCTTCACTAAATTTAGAATTTAACAACTTAGTTGATATGTAAAAAATATTTTTACTAACTCGCGGCTCAATTTAATTTTCCTCAACAAAATGTCCGATCAAAACTTGTTTGGGTCGGACAGTGTCTGATCAAATTTTTCAAATATAATATTTACGGTTTTACGGAACCCAGTTATGCAATTGAAATCTGTGTTATTTTATTCAAAATGCCTGTTTTGATGAGTTATTAATTTAAATATAATAAAAAAATTGTTACGTTACAAATGACTTTTAATCAATAAATATAATGATTTTTAAAACAAACGCATTATTTGTAAATTCAATGTTATATTTAAATTTTTTTTAGTAGGTAAAATACATAGTAAATAATTTACGTTTATAAATATGTATATGGTGTACTAAATTAAAAATTTTAAAAACAAAAACTAAATACCTGGCAGATGATAAAATAAATAATTTCTTATTACCATTGAAGCTCCTAAAAAAAAATTCCTGTTTAAAATTTTTTTAAATAACAAATAAAGTTTCACAATTTAAGATTTTTAATAATACAAAACATACAAAATAATTTGTCAAGGAGTTTTTTTTTGTTTTTTTTACGAATAACAAAAATATTGTTTATAACTTGTGTCTGTTTTTAAATACTTTTTATCTTATATATAGTCATGTCTATATAATTATATATAATCATGTCTATATAATTATATATAATCACACCTTTTTTTAAGTACTCTTAGCTGTTTGAGTCCAACTGTATAACAGCAATTAATAATTACTGCAAAATATAAATGAAAACAAGTTTTGTTTTTTTCTGAGTCTTCAAAACAGTTCAAATTCAAAAATCAGTAGGCAATGAATATGTTGTTGGTAAAAAAAACTGTTAGCAAAAGCAATTAATATGCTACCAAAAGCAAAAATTTGTAATATATTTGAAACATAATTATTAACTTACATACATGCTTTAACGTTTAACAAAAACAGTGTAGCAGCAAGAATGCCATAACTCCACTATTGGAGAAAACATTTTATAGTGCAAAAAAAAATTTTTTTCAATTATGATGATGTTATATTAAAAAGGTGATTCCATGTATGACAAAAACAAACAAACTAGGTATCACTCAGCTATAAATACAAACAGGTTAAAATAAAAGGCATTTTTCGAACTAAAAAACTTTATTTTTTACCACATCTACCTAATAGAGTTCGTAGTGATAGTTTTAGTAAAAGAAACTGATTGAAAATTGATAAACATTTTTTGAGAGTGCTGAATCTATAAATGAAAATTAAAAAAAAAAAGTTATTAAAATGAGCTATTGAAAAAATGCATTTTATTTTCCAGGCAGTCTCAAGTTTTCAATTTCTAAAATCAAAACTCAGAACAAAGTTGTTATGCAACAAAAAAAAGCATCATAGCATCATATCCTGCTATGGCTAAAAAAAACCAAGTTTCATCTAAATGTCATCTATTACAGGAATTCAATTAATTTTTTTTTGTTTTGTTTTGTTTTGTATGATTTGAATTCATTATATTGGATTTATTAATGAAGTTATGCATAAAACTGTTAACCATATCAAATTTAATTGTAACAAAATTACAAAATTTCATTTTTTTCAATAGCTCTTACCATGTTTTATTGTGTATTACCATTTTTTCTAATACATTCCCATGTTGAAGATAATTCTGTTTGTTGAATCCAGAATTTTTTAAATGAAAATTGCCATGGCTTGTTGCATTGTGGTGGAATAGGTGGCACTCTAAAAACATTTGTTGTTAAAGTCTGCAAGCTAGCAGCTGTAACAGCTAGCTTGCAGACTTTAACCACAGGTCAATAAAAAAGATTTTCTATGGCAACACCTGTTGTTGGGACAAGAAGTTTCATCAATTTACACCTCCTTCAATCATAAAGATGAAGGGGCTATCTGATGATTATGATTTTGCTATTATTTGACTTCCTCAATAAATAAAAATATGATATTGTTTGGATCAAAAATGTTATGGTATCACAATACCTGTTTTTAAAACTTTATTGGCTAGGAATGGTTTCTGAAATTGATAAGAGAATGATTTTATGGTTAAAGCTCATGCATTCACATTCATATACAAGTCAGCCATACTATTGTCATTTCTTTTGTTAAAACACTGTTTACATCTTCTAGACATCAATATCATTTTAATCTTTTCAAAAGAAGGTAAAACTCTATTTGAACAACTTTTATTTCACTTGTGAAAGTTTCCCAATATTTCCCTTTAAATAATAAAAAAAAAATGTAAAATGATAAACTTTAACTTCAATATTTAAGTAATATTTACTTATTTTAAATTCTTTTCATTTTTGTTTTTCATATATATTTTTTCATTCTGCAGATTTTCTACTGTTTTTTAAAGAACTTTGTATTTCAATTTCTCATTTTTTAACATAACATTTGAGATTTCTTAAAGATGAAATCTCTAATGAGATAACAACTAAAATTTGCACAAACTTTTTACGTAAATACATGCTTATTTAACTATATTATATAGTCAAAGTGCATTCATTGTAAATAGATCATTGTTCATTATATATAACCAGTATATAACCATTATATAACTAGTATATAACCATTGTATATAACCAGTATATACAACTATTGCATATAACCAGTATATAAGTTCATAGTATATAACCAGTATATAACCCTATTTATATGATTGTGTAATAAATAAATTATTTATTTATTACACAATTATATATTTCCAATGTATTGTAATGCAAATTTTATTTCAGTGTAAAATTTCAGAAGTTTTGAGTAGAAACTTGCAAAGCTATGTAGGGCCATATACTTTTTATGCTATTAGAGTCCTAAACTATGATTTAAACATTATGCCCAAATGTTTAACTAAAATGTAACTAAATAAATACACTCTCAAATTTTTATTACGAAAAATATTTATTTGTTTCTTAAGTAAAAACATTGTAAAAAGATTAAACTTTAAAAATACAAATATTGTTCTAGATGCCCACTTTTGATTTTAATTACTTTATTCAAATTTTATGATAATCCAATCACATGCTGCACAAATGAGTATGAGGAATTTGAGCCAATTCCTGACAAAAGGCTAATTTTAATGATTACAAAATTTTATAATTTTTAAAACATTCTTTGGCTTCTATAATGCTCCAAATAGAGAAATCTACGGGGTTTGCATCTGGTAAATTTGACAGCCATGGTTAGAACAAAATAAACCATGGAACAATTGCACTCAACCAATCTTGATTCACGCGAGCTTTATGTGATGGTGCTTAGTCTTGTTGGAAAGTTGATGGTCTGTTACCAAAATGAGCTTGTGCTTACGGCAGTAACACATCTTCCAGGAATGATTCTTGATACTATTATAGACTACCACCCATGCTGCATGCTTTTAAAGATGGTTGAAGATCAATCACTGCACTCTGTATAATTTTTATTTCATGAGGGTTGAACAACTACAGGAATGTGTCAATCATGATAACAACGAAAAATTTAATTTAAGATATAAAAAGAAAATTGAATATAAAAAATTTTGAACTTTTTATCACCTTGAAATTTTTTAAAATGGAATGGATTCAGTATTTAAGGGCTAAATTGATTCAACCCTTTTAAAACTGGTTATGTATTAACTTAAAATTATTTTCTACTAAAACTCAAGTTATTCGTAAAAAACCAAAAAAATCACTAAAAATTTATAAGTTAGAATGTGAACCTAAATAGACAGTTTTTTTTTTTTAATTTCAAAGTAACATAGTTTTATTATGCCTCATAAAAAAAACATATACTTATTATGCCTCATAAAATAACATATATTTATTATGCCTAATAAAAATAACATATATTTATTATGCCTCGTAAAAGTAACATATATTTATTATGCCTTATAAAATAACATATATTTATTATGCCTCATAAAAATAACATATATTTATTATGCCTCATAAAATAACATATATTTATTATGCCTCATAAAATAACATATATTTATTATGCCTCATAAAAATAGCATATATTTATTATGCCTCATAAAATAATATATATTTATTATCCCTAATAAAAATAACATATATTTATTATGCCTCATAAAAATAACATATATTTATTATGCCTCATAAAAATAACATGTATTTATTATGCCTCATAAAATGAAACAATATTTCATAATGAACATAACATCTCCTTATTTTTATAATTTAAAAAACTTGAACCCATGGGAGAGAAACTATAGGAATGAGTGAGAACACAACCCATGGTGAATTATAAAGCAAAAACTTTAAATTGGGTGATCTTCTTTGCATCATAAAAATAGCCAATTTTCAAGAATTTTCTTTCACAAAAACTTATTGATTAAAATAAACTATTCATTCACTGCAAAGTTAGTATTGGCAGATGTGGTAAAAATAGATTAGTTTAGGTTGAATAACAAATTTAACCATTTGTATTTGGGAGCTCAAGTTTAACATTTTTTATGTTTCATTGTTAACACTAGTTAAAATTTGAAAAAAATCTGTAGGGAAATGACTGCTCGCTTTTTACATGGAATGACCCATAAAGAAAAATTAATCAAACATCATACAAACTCACCAAAAAAATAAGTGGATTCTCAAGTAAGACATATACCTATATAAAAAATGCAAACACATTTATTTTGGTAAAGTTTGATATAGACTTTTAATATTTCCTAACTTAAATAATTCTGACTTAATAATTAAATAATCATTATAACCATTTTTGTGAAAAAATTGATTCTTAAATAATCATTAAAAAAAATTAAAAACTTAATAAAAAATAAAAAAAGATTTTTTAATTTAAAAAAATTAGCGAGTAACAAATAAAAAAGTTACTACCTTTATCTTTACCTTATTTATTGAAAGTTTATTATTTTATCAGATTTTGTTTTGAAAGCAAAGATTATTTATCCCAACACCATTTGTTAAAATTATATCACTGTATATATCATTTATTAAAAAATAATTGCTGCGCTCTACTTGCATTATAAAAATAGTTTAACTTATGTTTTGTGCAAATTCTTGATAAAGCCTCGGAATACATTTATTTAATATTTAATTTTGAGTTAAAGAAAAAATGTTTAGGAAAGAAAACCGAAATAACAAATGCAAGCTAATTTTTTTTTTTTAAGAATAAATAAAATGAAATTATTTAACAATATTTAGTAACATCTTTAATTTAACGTTTAAAGTTCAGTTAATAAATTAATAAAGTTCAGTTAATACCAAGCATTAACTTTAATTCATAATTTATATATATATATATATATATATATATATATATATATATATATATATATATATATATATATATATATATATTTATATATATATACACATACACACACACATATATATATATATATATATATATATATATATATATATATTATATTGAAACTAAATTACAATTGCACTCAACCAGTCTTGATTCACGCGAGCTTTATGTGATGGTGCTTAGTCCTGTTGGAAAGTTGATGGTCTGTTACCAAAATAAGCTTGTGCTTACGGCAGTAACACATCTTCCAGGAATGATTCTTGATACTATTATAGACTACCACCCATGCTGCATGCTTTTAAAGATGGTTGAAGATCAACCACTGCACTCTGTATAATTTTTATTTCATGAGGGTTGAACAACTACAGGAATGTGTCAGTCAGTCATATATATATATATATATATATATATATATATATATATATATATATATATATATATATATATATATATATATATATATATATATATATATATATATATATATATATATATATATCGAAACTAAATTACATATTTTTTATAAGAATAAAATTATATATTTTTATTAAATTAGTTTTGAATTAAATCTTTTTTTTATTATTAGAATTAAATTACATTATAATGATCTTTGCTTTAAGCTTAAAGTATTAGCGTTTTTCAAGCGAAAAAAATCAATTAATGCAATAAAATAAAAAAATTAATTATAAATTTTTATTACTATATCGAAATTTAAGTAAATTTTTTTAATGCAATCAAAAGTTGCATAAATATTCTTGTCCTCAAGATATGTTTTTATTATATATATTTTATGTTTTTATTATATATATCCTCAAGATAAATGTTTTTATTATATATATTTCTTTTATGTTTTTTTTTTTTTTAAATAACTTCGCTTAAAAAAAAACTATAAATGTTAATTATAAACAACTTTGTTTTCTGTTTGATAAAATAATTAGCTTAATAGAGATTAAGTTTTTGGAGTTTTTAATTTTTTTGCTTAGTAAATAGCGCTTACATCTAAAATAATTGTAATTCAAACTTTTTCACATAATCGTCAAAGTGGTTTTTTATAAAATTAATTACTTCTTTTATCTTACCGCTTAATAGAGTAATTTAAAAGTTAAAAACATATCAAAAGTTGCTTCATGGAAATCGCTCTACGGGTACATAATTTCTACAACACAAAATCTCATATTTCATCTCAATAACTAGGCTTGAGAGACTTCTGGAGAATATTTCACAATGTCTATAATAAGGACAAATCTGTTATTCCACCTTTCTGGCATAGCTCAGATTTTGTACCTCACCTAAAGACAAAGCTGAATTGTTTGCTAAAAACATTCATCAATCTCATTTCTTGATTTCAATAATCACACCCTACTTGATATAGCCGACAAATATGTTGATCCATTACTTGGCATTCATATCACTCCAGCTTCTGTATCGAAAATGATTTCCAGCTACTTTTCTACAGCTTGTGATCTGGACAACATACCTGTCTTGCGGAAATGTTCTCCAGAGCTGTCATCTATACTTTCAAAACTATTTAACAAATGTTTATCCAGTCATGTTTTCCAGTCTGCTGGAAAGTGGGATCTATTATCCCTAATTTTTAAAAATTCTGAAGAGCAATCTGACTCATCTAACTACTGTCCCATTAGTCTTCTTCCTATTATAAGCAAGGTCTTTGAGTCTTTAATTAATAAAAACTTAATATCTCATCTTGAATCTAATAACTTACTTTCTGATCATTAATATGGATTTCGATCTTCTCGTTCCAGTTTTGATTTATTTACAGTAATAACTGATAGGTTTTATTGTGCATTTTTCACAATAAAACATTGTGCAACTTCAGGGGTTCAATCCTTGGATTGAACCCCTGAAGTTACTTTTTTAAATTTACATTAACGATCTCCAAGAAATTTTTATATCTGCGGCTCTCAGTGGCTGGTGAACTTCAACTCAGATAAAACTCAATTTTTTTCAGCTAATTGTTATTGTAACAATATAGATCTTCTTATATTTATGAAAGGCAATGTACTCAATTAGCCATCTTCCTTTCATCGTCTAAGATTGACTCTTACTTCTGAGCTTTTTTGGAAACTATATATCGAACCCATTGCAAAACTAGCATCTGCTAAGGTTGCATCTCTTTATCGTGCTCACCACTTCTTTATACTTCAGATTCCATTCTTTATCTCTATAAATCTCAAATCAGTCCTTTTATGGAATACTGTTGCCATATCTGGAGTTGATATTTGAATGATGCCTATCGAATTCAGATCAATGTCCTTTGAACGATATCATTTTTATGCAGTAAAATTTATTTTAAAAAAACTTTGAAATTGTTGTTAAAGGGATCCCTAAGTGCTCCTAACATATCATCTCATATGAAAGAGCATAAAAAAAAAAATATGTAAGTTTTTTTTCTTTTTCCCTAAATTGTAATAATAAATGCATGCTAACAAAAAGCAATTGCCGAAATCACTAAAAAACAACTCCATTTTGATTTTATTTTTTCACCATTGAAACTCGATTGTTAGTCGTTAAAAATCACGTTAGTACGTCACAACAACTTTAGAATATCTACTTCGATTTTCATGTAAAAAAAAGTCGTGATTAAATAGTTAAGTTTTAATCAAGTTTTTTAAATTAGTTTTGCAAAAACAGTATAATAGCATTTGGTTGAAAGACGTCGTTAAAAAAAAGTTATTAAGTAATAGTTTTAAATAGCTTAGAACTTATAAGTCTTACAGGGCTCGTATTAAGCGTATCGCGATTGCGATTGCTACACACATTTTTGAATTTAAATTACATTAAATCTCTGCGTGGAAAATTTTTACAAGGTCGTTAAAGCGAAAAGTTGAAAAGTTGGTTTTTATCTTTGTTTATCAAAACTTCATGTTTAAAATAATGCTTAAAAACGTTAGAGCAAAAAAATTACTGACTTTTATTTGCATTTTTATAAAATGTTTGAAAAAAAAAAACTAATAAAAAAGAATTAATATATAATTATTAATTAATATATTATTAGTTAATTCTTTTTTATTAGTTTTTTTTTTCAAACAGTATAAAAATGCTAATAAAAACCAGCAATTTTTTTACTTTAACGTTTTTAAGCCTTATTTTAAACATGAACTATAATTCGATTTATTAAACCAAATTTTTTTGTTTTATCTTTTATTGGAAAACTTGAAATAGAAAAATTGAATAAAAACATCAACCATTTAAATGAAAAACTTAATTATATTTAACTTTTATTAGTCCTTTATTCAAGAAACAATAAATTATAAAAGACGTGGTATCTAATTTTTTATTAAATTTTTGACGATGTTTTTTGATTTATTGACGATAATTTTTTCCCCCCATTACCGCACATCGGCACGAGCTATAAGAGAGAGGGGAGGGGGGAGAGAGCTATAAGAGAAAGGGGAGGGGGGAGAGAGCTATAAGAGAGAGGGGGAAGGGGAGAGAGCAAAAAAAAAAAAAAAAAAATTTTCGCGATTAGATTTTTTGCGTTAATTCGAGCCCTGTCTTCTAATAAAATGTCTTAAAACTAAAATTTCTAATAAAATGTCTATTCAACCTTATCAATTTGAACCAAAAAAATATAGCAATTTAACATAAATGTTAATTTAACTAAAACATTTTACAATCATTATTTTTTTTATCAAGCAAAAATGTGTAACCGTCACTTTTGAAACCATAAAAATTACTGAAATAAATTTATTTTTTTACCAAGGAAATATTTTAAATAAACTTTCATATGTCTAAGTCAATATTCATTTGTTTTTAACTGACTAAAAAGAGTTTAAAATTTGACTTCTATTCATTTTTAGCCGTGGAATTGCCCTTACAACACAAATATATAAATTAATATCATAAAAAAAATTTTAATATACAAATATATTTTCACAAAATGCTACAAAACTTATTCTTGTAGGTTATTATGTGTTAGTTGAAAAAAAACGACTTTTAAATTTAATTACCAACTAATAAGTTTGCAATAATGACATTTTGTCTACTTTGTTTAATTTGACGTACTAACGTTAGTTTTTTGAGGCAATAGAGTCAATAAACTTTGGACAAGGCGCATTTTTTTTAATAGAAGAAAAGCGTTTTTTTGAAAATTAAATTTGTTAGTGTGTGTTCATTATTACATTTTAGAAAAAATAATATACATCAAACATTTTTTTTTTAATGCTCTATCATATGAGATCATATCTTTGTAGCACTTAGGGATCCCTTTAAAATAACTTTTGAAATTAGTATATTATTTTATTTCATTTCTCTGACTCGATATACTTAAAAAAAAAAATTTTTCAATGATATTAGGGATCTAAATATTTTTTATTATATATATATATATAATAAAAAATAAATATTTATATATATATATATATATATATATATATATATATATATATATATATATATATATATATATATATATATATATATATATATATATATATATATAGATATATATATATATATATATATATATATATATATATATATATATATATATATATATATATATCAGGAGCTATTCTATATATATATATATATATATATATATATATATATATATATATATATATATATATATATATATATATATATATATATATATATATATATATATATATATATATATATATATATATATATATATATATATATATATATTAATGGTTTTAACTTTCTGACAACACGGAAATGTTGGATGAATGTCAAAAGTAGTTAAAAGTGACATAATTTGTTGTCAAAAGAACCATTTTTTACCTTCCGTACTCTTAAAGCCAACAATTTATAGAACTATATATATATATATATATATATATATATATATATATATATATATATATATATATATATATATATACACATATTAATACGCACGCACATATATTATACAAAGTTACCAGAGTAATGGCAATAGAAATAATCATTAAAATTGTAGCAGTGCAGAGATTTAACTTGTTTTCTTCTCCCTTTAGTTCTAATCTATAAAAAAATATTAAAAACTATAAATGTGAAAAAATGTATTTAAAGATGTCCCAACGTGCAGAGACAAGCTGTGTTCATATCATAGATAAACTTAAGAAAATAAGTTATAAGTTAATTAAACTTGCCAAAACAAGTTATTGAATGAGATATTAACAAAAGCATTTGTTATTTTGCCATTATACTTCACGGCTGAGAGACTAATTTTAGGCTCTCAAATCTGAATAGTGTTTTCCGTTAAAAAAACATCTGGTTTCAATAATGAAAAAAACTCGCTCACCGCAGAGTTTTTGAAACTCATTCCAATTTTAGACAATCAGAATGAGTTTTCTCCTTCATATTTAGTCTGCAGTGGTAATAAAAAACATTCGCTGTAGCATGTTTTTTGTTCAATGTATCATTAAGTCTTTGAGTAAGAATAAACTAGCATAATAAAAATAGTAATTAATGAAGCAAACTTATCTACTTTTATTTAAAAATACAGCAGGCTTGAAAAATACAGCAGGAATGGTGTGCGATCGCACTCTGTAACTGACCACGCTAATATTTTTATTTCTTTACAACTTGACCGCGGATTTTCTGATGTTTTAACATTTGAATGCAATAAAAAAAGTGTCACGTTATAAATTTCTTTTAATCGTTGATCTTTTCTAAAGTTTTTTATTTTACACTAAGGCTTTAAATAAAACCATATAATTAATTATAGTTATTTATTAATTAATTATAGTTATTTATTACATAAACGATTGTGTAAATTAATAAAAAACATTATAAAAAAGGTTTTTTTTGTGTGGGGGTTTATTTTTTTTGGTAAATTTGGGCGTTTGGGGCTATTTTCTTATGTCTTCCTAAAATATTTTTAAACTATTATTTTTAGAAAGAATTTTTTTAAGTTACTTTAATTTGTGAATAAGTTCAAAAGCTTTTGTGACGACTAACTTTTACATATTTTATGTGAATTACACAAGAATATAAAATAACTTTATTTACTAATATAAGCATGTATTTTGTTGATTTAATGAAAAGGTTTTAAAGCATTTTGTAATATTCATATGATTAATTTTTATGATTAAAATTATGATTTTTTAAAATGTTTTAGATAAACATTTTATTTTTTGTAAACAATTTTTTTTTTTTTTTTTTTTTTCAATTTCGTTAAAAATGAATGAGAAATCTTTTATAATAATTTTTAAATTCGTTACGCGAAGCGCTTATTAATAAAGTTTATTAATAAGCGCTTCGCGTAACGAATTTAAAAATTATTATTAAAGATTTCTCATTTATTTTTAACGAAATTGAAAAAAAATAAATAAAAAATTGTTTACAAAAAATAAAATGTTTATCTAAAACATTTTAAAAAATCATAAATTTAATCATAAAAATTAAGCGTATGAATATTACAAAATGCTTTAAAACTTTTTCATTAAATCAACAAGTTGTAATGCTCAAATTAAAATTAAATTAAAAAGCTTGTTTATTTTATTTAAGTCGCAGGCGCATTTTATTTATTTATTCTTTTCTATTTTTACGAATAAAAAAGTTCAAAACCTTTTTTTTAATTAGACTCACTAATTAGAGCATAAAATTAGTAAAAATTACTATTTTAAAAAGCCTACGTTATTTTTTTAACAAAAAGGTAACAAAAGGTTTCGCTTCGAGTTTAAGTTTTTATTTTCATTTTAGTGCTTATATAATTACTTTTTCGTTATGATTTTGTTTTTCGTTTCTTTTTTCGTTAGGAATATTTTTTTAGTTAGTTTTTTTTTTCTATAGTTTTTTTTTTTAATTTTTTTTTCTAGTTGAAGTTTAGCTTAGCATTTCTAAATTCAGAACATTTCTGAAATTTTTAACTTATCAAAACATATAAACATTGTTTATAAAACAACCGTGGTCAAGTTGTCAAAAAACAAAATCATTTGCGTGGTCAGCAATAGCGCTCAATCGCACGCCATTCCTGTCCAAGTCTGATACAGCAAAGTAAATGTTTTCTTTTACAATTCGCAATTTATTTGTATAGTACTTATATTCATTTTGTTTCTAAAATAAAATAGTTTTTAATTAAAATAAAAAGTTATTAAAGCGTTATTTAACGATTGTATGATTTTATACACATTCACATTTTATAGAAGATTATACAGTAGCTTTCATAAATTTAGACACATATATATTTTTTTCATTTATGTAAGAAAATACTCAAAATAAAACTAAAATAAAAGTGCTACCGCTATGTTTGATATATAATTTAAAAGAGGAAGTGAAACTCTATTATAGAGTACTTTAATTTTTTTTACAGGATGTTTATTACTCATTCTATACCGATTAACACAAAAAAGTTAATTGACAACCTTGATTTTATTTTGTTCATAAATTTAGACGCACAATCAAATAAGTCTTATATCTTGTTAATTGATAGTTAATTAGTGGTTTTTCCCCGTATTTCTTGTTAATAGGCCTAAATTAATTGATTTTGTCAAAAAACCTTATATAAATATGACTTACCTGGAATTAGTTAATCATTATTTATTAAATAAACCACAGTTAAGTTAGTTTTGCACTAAAAAGACGCGAAAAATGGGCAAAAGACGTATCGCTCAAGGTGAAAGATGGCAAATTATTGCGCGCGCAAAGAAACCAAAAGTAATAGAGAAATCGCCAAATTATTTGGAGTTTCTGAGAAATGCGTTCGGACAACGAAACAAAACTTTCTTCACACTGGTGGTGCCAGCAAGAAAACGAGGCCAGGTAGACCCTTGTCAACCAGCAGAAATGATGATAGTGTTCTTTTTAGGGCTGTCGGAGCTAATCCGGGAATTAGTTACGAAGAATTGACCACAGAACTCAATACAACGCGAAATACATCTATTTCTCAAAGCTCAGTCCACCAAATACTTATCAAATACAAGATTGGAGTCTACACTGCTTTGAAGAAACCGCTTCTGTGTCCATATAATAAACAAAGGAGAATAAAATGGTGTCGTGAAAGAAGGTATTGGACAATTGAACAATGGAAAACATTATGTGGAGTGATGAGAGTAACTTTGAGCTTATCAATCGCAAATCTAACATAACATCCAAAAGAATGGCTCACGAAAAGTATTACGCCAGGTACATTAGACCGACTGTACAAAGTGGAGGAGGCTTGATAGGAATCTGGTCATGCTTCAATTACAAAGGTGTTGGTATGTGCCAAACATACACCGGAAGAATCAACTCAAGAATATACGTAGAAGTACTGGAAAACAACCTAATTCCATCAATTGACATACTTATGCTCAATGATAAACCATGGAAACTTCAACAAGATGGCGCTACTGCACATACTGCATACTATACAAAGGAGTGGTTCAACGATAATAATATCACGACAATACCGTGGCCTCCATACTCACCTGATTTGTAAACTTTTTTTAAATTTTGTATTCTGTATGTATTTAATAAATAGAAAAAAAACTAAATCGAAATCTTTTTTCGTCATTGTTTTATCGTAAAAAAACTAAAAATTTCTATTCTCAAATATGAGTGCGCCTAAATTTATGAAAACCACTGTATAAAAATATGTTCTACATAAAAAAGAAGACGCCAGCCACCTTATTATATATACTGTATCTTGTTTACTTTTATTTAAACATTTTGAAATTTACTTTACAATTGTCTGGTCTATTTGTCGCTATAATTTAGTTTCTCATAACGAAATGATGTATTTATCAAAATATTAAAATAATGCAGCTATTAATAATTTTAATAACATGGGCCACGACATTACTAATGAATTTTATTAGCTATGCAATACAATCTTATCACTAATAACCATTAATAAAAAAGTATATAAACTTTATATACTTTTTTATTAATGATTAGCAAACTTTTTTTTGCTTTACTAGAATATAATATTTTTTTGTTTTATTAGAATAAAATATAAGGTTGAAATGATTAGCGAACTTTTTTTTGTTTCATTAGAAAACAAAAAAAATTTTGCTAATCATTTCAACCATAGTGTCTACCATTAAATCCTTCAGAAAAAAAATAATTGTAGAAAAATATTAAGCTAGTAAAATGTGGATTTTTTCAAAACTAGAAAGTACGATTTTTGATTTTTCGTGTTAAAAAAAGTTAGTAGCTTTTAAAATACATGAAAAGATTATTTATGATATGAACACAACTAATCTTGGCACTTAAGGATTCCTTTAAGGGACATAAAAATTGTGTATTTATGTGAATTATATAATTATTATTATATAAATATTATTTCTGATATATATATATATATATATTATTTTTATAAACAACAAGTTTATAAAAATAATATATTTTTCATTCTTGACATGTTTTGTAAAATTTTATTTACATTTTCAAAAGATTATTTTACAATAATAAAACTCTAAAATAATTATTTAAAAATAGAAGTCTTTACAGAGTAATAATAATGAACAAAATTTTACATAATGAACCAATATATTATTACAAAATAACTTGTTAAATAACCAATCAAAAAAACTGTCAAAAAAAAATTAATTATAATAATAAACTGACAGTAAAATTAAATAGATAAGTTAATCGCATAATGCCAGTTATATTGAAGAAACCTCCAGACATTTGGCAACTAGAATAAACAAGCACCTTAAAAGTGATAAACAATCTCGTATATTTAAATACTTTAATTTATCTATTAATTTCAAAAATCTGGCTAACTGTGATTCTTTTGAGATTTTGGATAATGCCCCAACCAAACACAAATTAAAGATAAAAGAAACCCTCCACATTAAATGGGAGAATCCCTCACTTAATAAACAAACTTCATATTATGATATTAACTTATCTATTTAATTTTACTGTCAGTTTATTATTATTATTATTTTTTGACAGTTATTTTGATTGGTTATTTAATGAGTTATTTTGTAATAATATATTGGTTTATTATGTAAAATTTTGTCTGTTATTATTTCTCTGTAAAGACCTATTTTTTAATATTTATTTCAGAGTTTTATTATTGTAAAATAATCTTTTGAAAATGTAAATAATTTTTTACAAAACATGTCAAGAATAAAAAGCATCATGTTATTTATAAAAATAATTACTTATTTTATGCTATTCAACAATCACAATATATATATATATATATATATATATATATATATATATATATATATATATATATATATATATATATATATATATATATATATATATATATATATATATATATATATATATATATATATATATATATAGTAAATAAAATATTTATATATAGTGTAAGGGCAGGCTAGCTGGCCTTTTAACAAGTAAGGGTGCTGCATGGAAAAAAACGTTGATTTTGTTACTTCCAGGAATTTAGTGAGGATAGAATTCAGAATTGTAACCCTTGTAATATATTTGCAGAATATATAAGTGCATATAGAAGGCTAAAATTGAGTAAATGAAACATTTAAAAAATGCTAACTTAAGTTATATGTTTATTTACAAATATAAGCACATAAAAAAAAAACTTACATGCAGTATAACATTATACATGTGCCATATATCATTGGTAACTCATCAAGCAACTAAAAATAAAATGTTTTAACAAATATTTATGTTAAAACAACATAATTTAACAAATATATTTGTTAAATAACGCTGTTTAAAAAAATATAAAACACTAAAAATAATATTGTTTATAACTCGCATGATATAAATACCTTAGATTTATATATGGGTATAAATTATATAACTGGTATGATGTATATAAATACCTGAGATTGATATAACAGAGTACAATGAAAAGCAAAGGAGCCAATTCCGATTACTAATGCAAAAAATAATATGATTAAAAATTATTGTATGACTATAAATTTTGTATAATAAACTGTTTTTAAAAATTGCAGTTACAAAGGACACAAAAATGATTGTATTGATACTTTTAAAGTATGCAGTGGTGTACACTGGATTTTTAGATGTTTGAGTTTTGACACTTACAGGCATTGTGCCTACTCCAAACTTTTGTATGTTCATGCTTATATCAAATGAGAATGTTTTGCAAAGGTTTGCGGTGATTGGAGCTTGGGGACAAAAAAAAAAAAAATTTTTTGGACCCACCCAGCCCTTAACATGGGAGCAACAAGTTTATAAAATAATTTCTTTAGTATTTTTATCTAAGTTTATATTCATCAATAAATTTTAAATTTCATGCAATAAACTAAAGAAATTATTTTATAAAATTGTTGCTCCCACATTAAGGGCTGGGTGGGCCTAAAAATTGGGTTTTTTTTGTCCCTAAGTTCCAATCACCGCAACTCTTTGAAAAACATTTTCATTTGACATAAGCATGAATATACAAAAGTTTGGAGTTTGCACAATGCCTGTAAGTGTCAAAACTCAAACAATTAAAAATCCAGTGTACACCACTGGTATGATAGAGATTTAATATAAAAGTAAAAAAACTCTAGTGCTTACACATTAATGCAAAGAGCGCAGCAATAATACGATCTTCAGCAAGTTTGTATTTCCATAATCGATACGCAACTAACATAGGTGGGAAGATCATCACCCAATTGCTAATTGTATTCCCTTTATATGAAAAATATTTAATATTATTTTTTTTAACAACATCTCGAGTGACATAATTATCTATGGGATTGAAACTATGATTACTATTTATTTACATTTACATCCCATGTCATTCATTAAAAGTATTAAAATGACATTTTTTCACTTTTACGCAATTGTTAATGAATCTGGATTATTTAGTTTTCAGTCAAAAAATCAATTTATCAAGAATTTTAAAACATAACTAAATTATATTTTAAAATTTCAAAACTCAAGAACTAATTTTCTTGATAATTTTTTTTTTATGACTCTTTATTTAATTTGGTATGTCTATCAAACTAGAAAGGAATATTCTAAAACTGCTCTAATATAAATAATAAAGTTTTTATGAGGATACTGGGAAGTTTAAAAATCTTTAAGATCAAGAACAGAAATTTATCTGGAACCTAAAAAATACTAGGATATTAGAATATTAGCAAAAAAGGTTTCATAAGATGAAAACTTTTGGCTCATATAAATGAATGGAAATTACCATTAATTCTTTAGTCTAAGGAGAGCAGCTTTGCTAAATACTGGGAAAATTCAGTTGTATTGTAATGGAATATTACTTCCATCAAATTGTTTCTCTTGTCAAAGTTTGTGTTTTTAACCTTTAAAAGAATGATATAAAAAATTTTTAAAAAATTAACATATATAATATAAGATCTATTACCAACTTTTAACAACTTGTTTGTGAGTACCAAATTTTATTTATCTGTCAAAGAATATTCTAAAACACCCACTATATCAAAAAAATTCAAAAAGTGGCACACTTCAAATAAACACCCACTACCTCCGCCTTAAAGAATATTCAAAAGGAAATCATTATTTGTACACGCGTACAAATAATGTCCATATAATAATTGTAATTAACTATTATAAATAGTAGTGTAGTGCTGTGGATGTAAAACTATTCCCATTTTGAGGAGCAGCTGACAGGGTTGCACAACAAACCTTCTACAATTAGATTTTCTTAAATTTTAATGTTTTATATTTAAGAAGTGTTGTTTTTTTTACCTATTATTGTTGTTTATTTTTAGTTAAGTTTATTATTTATTTTTACTTTTCAGTGTTTCATAATATAAGTGCATCGATGCATTCATAATTCAACTGATATAGCCATAGTTGCAGTGGAGTACGCATACATCAAATGACATTAACTGGGATAGGCACAATGGAGTGTAAATATATTGAATGATATAAATAGGGATATGCAAAAGTGGAGTGTACATACATCGACTGAGGGTTTAGGTTTGGGCAAGCATTCTTTTAAATAAAAGAAAAGTACTTTAATATTTCAATAAGGTTTATAAATTAATTTACAAAAAATTATCAAATTAAATCACACTACATTTTAAGGTGAAATAATCAATATTTCAAATATGCACATACAAATAAGAAAAAATTAGTTGTACACGCGTACAAATAATGGTTACAAATTTAAAATTATTAATAACTTTTGGCTATTTAACATTTTATTCAAAACAAGTTTTCAAGGCATAAGTTTTAATCAAGGAATAGGAAAAGCAGTAAAACAAAAGTAGAACTAGATTTTCTCTTTGGCTTACTTGACTTTATTCTTCTTGCTAGTTGTAAGTGATAACAACATATTTAACAAAATTCTATTTTTAATTATACATATTTCTTTTATTAAGCTTTGTTTTTGTAAGTCTTTTGGTATTAACTGCTTGCATTTCTGACATGTTACCTTGCTAGATATAAGATAAGTTAAAAATGTTAATTATAAAATTATTGATTACCATCCTATAAATTAATGTTTTATCAAACGTTTTTCATAACAATTGTTTAAAAACTTATTTTGTAAACTTCATCTCTACAAGTAACTAACAGTGCACTATACTTTATACATTTGAAAAACTTATTTTAAACTTGTTTACATTGGTGAGAGAAAAAATAAGCTTGATTATTATATTATTCAAGAATCAGAACTACAAAATATGTCTATAAATTTAAAAATTTTGACTGCGAAACCCTGTGTTATTTTTAAAAACGAGGATATATTTTTTAAGTACATATTTTGAAAAATCCAGGACTTCTTAACAATTTTTTAGAGAAAAAGAAAAAAAGTTTTTTTTCTTTTTCTCTAAAAAATTCAAACTTCAGGATTTTCTAGAATGTTACTTAAGATTGTGGAAACTTTTTGTTAGTGCTTTAGAGTGCATTGACAAGGCCATTTAAAGAGCCCTTTGCTTCAACTTTTTGTTGATTAGCAAGAATAAAACAACTACATAACTTTTTGCTTAGGATACCATAAACTATTTACAATTGATTCAAGATTTCTAATAATTTTGATTATAGTACCTAAAAATATAGTACCAAAAAAACAAAAAACCCATCATTATTACCAAATTATTCAAATCTATCTTTTCCAAATATTTGGGATCTTCAAAAAAAAACTTTGTATTTGTTATTTCAACCGCATTAATAGCCACATGCCTGGCCTCAGTAAAAGACATGTCACATGCTTGGCCTGGGACAAAAGATGTGTCACATGTTTGGCCTGGACCAAATGATGTGTCACATGCTCGGCTGGGCCAAATGAGTTGATACTCATTTGGCCCATTTGGTGTTTTTGCTTCACATCTCTCCACTTGATCACTTTTTGTTCTTTATTGTTCTCCCAAGACCACACTCTTATTTAATATTACTTCTGATCAAAATGATAAAGCCCTTTCTCTTTAGGCACCAGATAATGTTTTTGTAATTAGTAATTAGAAAGGGTCAAGCATGTGGCTTGTTATTTGGCCCAGGTAAACATGTGGTTTTTATGTTAAATATTTTTAAGTACTATAATCAAATTCAGATTTGAATACTCTGACTATTGTTTTATGTGTTTTTGCTTCGCATCTCTTTACTTCACATCTCTCTACTTTGTATCTCTCCACTTTGCTTCTCTCTACTTGATCACTTTTTGTTCCTTGTTTTTCCAAGACCAAACTCTTATTAACATTATTTCTGATCAAAATGATAAAGCTCTTTCTCTTTATGCATCAGACAATGTTTTTGTAATTATCAACTTTAATGTTCATCATGCTGAAAAGCTGGGCTCTAGTACTACTGACCTTGCTGGCTTTAAAATCCAAAATTTTTGAACTTTAGTGCCAGGCTGGGCTTAAAGATCATGATATTGGCGACTAAATTTATTTGTAAAAAATATACAATGAGCCACAACATGTATTTACAAACTTCTAGTATTTCCTGACTTGAAGTTCTCTCTAGTGGTTCATGACTTTATTACACCATTTTTCATTACTTCAAGGGTGTTTGTTCAAGGAACAGATGTTTTTCATCAAGTGAAGAAACAAATTCATGTCTATTGTCTATGAACAGAAAAGTTTTTGAACTGTTTAGTTTAAGTATTAGAAAGAGTTCTGGAAAACACTTATATAAAAGTTCTCTTCATCACTAATTTCACTTTTTATTTTATATTTGGGAGTTAACTCCCAACTTAAATAGTGGTTAAATGCAGCCTTTTCGGAAGTGAATTTATTTTTGTTTAGAAAACTTTTTGATGGGAGTGAATTAAAACTTTTTTTAAAAAAATGCTTTCTACTTAGAAAACTGTATATTTTTTAGTACATCTTGTTTAATAAGTCAACCATACAACTTTTAATGATATTTAAAAAAAAAAAACATTGTGCTTTTATAATTAAAGGTAAATTTGTGAAAAAAAATATCAAGGGAAAGGAGGGGGTATAACTAAAATCTGAGTTAAAATTTAAATATGGATTAGAAGATATCACAGGTAGACCAATGGTATCAGTTGGAGTGTCTAAAAGTGTGAACATCCTAACCATAAACAATTTAAACAAAAAAATCCTAACTACACAACCAGATCTCATAACAATGTTTACAACAAAACTGACTGTAAACAAAATGATCTAAATAACTCAAAAGCATTAGTATAAAAAATTAATAGTGAAAAAACTTGTTAATCAGGTGTAGTTTCCAAAAATGTCACCTCATATCAATCAATACAATATTTTGCAGAACATGGAATTGTGGAGGCATTTTAAAATTTGCAAAGATGTTGATCTATAATATAATGGTATAAAAATTTCTATCGTTATTTTCCCTTATACCACAACATACAAAAATTAACCTTTAATAAAACCTAAAAAAGGAAAAAACAAGAGAATACAAACATTTTCTGTCAGATGAGTCAAAGTAAATCATTTAATAATATTCAAATTTGACGTTCTAGCTGATATTCAAAACTTTTTGTGGATAAAATTAGCAATAGATAAAGTTAAAAAATAATTAGCATAAAAATAAAATCATCTTTACATATGAAATATCTTTATATCAGATAGAGTAAGTATACATTTGCCATGTTTACTCTATCTGATATGAATCTCAAAACTGCATGTTTCTCATTATGTCTTCATTGTTTTGTTGAGCTCTACCAGTAAAAGCACATTTAGATATTCTTATGCTTAAAACTTCTTGCTGTACAAATACTTCATGGAAGACAAACAGACAGGTAAAAAATATGGCCAGACCAGTTAAAGAAATTATTTTGTAAAGATTTTTTTGACAATAAAGTGTTACTGTGCAAAAATTCAAGTCTTTGTATTCAAGATAGGCCAAAAAGTATAAAGATGAAACTTTATAAGAACATGTAAAAAAAATGAATTCAAAACAATAAAAGCAATAAGCGGATGAGTAAGAACTATTGCGGTGAACAGTTAAGTGGCTGAGCATTTTAATAACATTTGGTATGCTGGTATAATTACAAGACATAACTAAAAAAATACATAAATTTATATAAGTAAAAACTTTACTTCAAAAAGAAAAATTGAAAAAAAAAAAAAAAACTTGCTAATCAAAAAGTAAAGTCTGCTTACAAAACTCTCCTATGGCATAGGTAACAACATAATTTTCTTCACACCAGTCCATTGTTGATGTTGGAAAACCATATATTCCACTGACAAATTCACGTATCATTGGAGGTGCCATAGTCCTTCTATGTCACTAAAAAATGTATATATATATATATATATTTAAAATCTTTAAAATATTAGATAAGTGATTTTCTACTCATTTAATATTAAGTATTACATAATTACACAAAAATAAATTAAATAAAAAAGCAAAAAAAAAATGATTATTCATTATTACATTTTTGTGAGCCTCTTCAAAGTAAAAAAGATCATTATTGAAGATTTTTATGTTTTGACAAGATTATTTTAAAATAAACTTGATAAGTTCAAATGTATAAGAATATAAGCCAGTATAAGAATAAGCCAGTATAAGAATTTCATTAAAAACCATATTAGAAAAACTGCAAAAAAAAAAACAAAAAAAAACAAAAAACAAAGAACTATAGAACTTTAATAGTTTTTAAAAAATTATTTAAATTTTTAGTCTTATATTTTCAATTTTGAAAAACTTAAAAATAATAAAATATAAAATTTAATAAAATAATAAATTAAAACTATTTATTGTAAAAGCAAAACAACATTTTATTATGCAATATTTTTACAGTTGTTTTTTAACTTAGCATGTAAAATATGACTTCTACCCCATTCACAGCAAACTTGTACCTAAATAAACTGCATCTTAATCATGTCTTAATTAAACAATATTGCAAGGTAGTCTTATATAGTTTTTTACACTTTTTGCATGGAATTAAAACCAGCTCTAGATTTAATCTGAATGAAAAAATATAAAACCTGTTTAAAATACTAGTTTTAAAATTCGTTTTATTGCCGATGTGAATGGGGATTAATCAAATCAAAAATAATAGATAAACACATATTTAATAACTTAAAAAATTTTCATAAACTGTTTTAAAAATTTGGTCATTTAAATTTGAATTACGAATTTTAACACAAAAACAATTTTAAAACTATTGAACTTATTCATTCAAGTTTTAGAGGCTGTTTTATGAGTGGGGCTGGATGGGTTAAACAAGCTGACTAATAAATAAAAACATAAAAAAATAAATGTTTACATTGAAATTTTAATTTAAATTTGAATTACACATTTTTATTTTTATTTAAATGGTTTATAATCAGGATTAGATAAAAGAAATGGCATGAATTATTTTATCATTTCAGCTACATTTTAGGGCAAGGCTGGCTCACTTGTTTGTGTTTATATAGAAAAAAATTGTTTCACCTAAATTGAATCCCACTGAAATTAGGCAAAATCTCAGTTATCTGGGCTAGCCGGTTTGTCATGTAAACAAGTTTTATTTTAATAGGTAAATAATAAACATGGCACGAGAGCCAAAGTAAGCCAAGTAAGCCAAGCCAAAGTGCCAAGTGCACTTTGGCATACCAAGAGCCAAAGTGAGCCAAGCACTTAAGTGAAACCTGGCTAATCGGACAAACCTGTCTTATATAAACAACTAAATTACAAGAGCTTTTTTTTATAATTACTTGCTTTCTAGCTCAGAGTTTTTCAGTGCAATTTTTTTAAACATTTTAAATTAGAAAAAAAAATTTCACAAAGAAAAACAGTATTGAATGAACTTTTATATATGAAAATAAGAAAGAACACAAAACAAAATAATATTTATAAAACAATCAATCGCTTTAATAAAAAAGCAAGCTAAATATATACTAAAAAAGAGTTTTAAAAGCTTGGTCAAATGCAAAGTTTTTTTTAACAATTTTTCTAAAAAACATTATGATGCTTAAATAAATATGAAAATATTGCTGACACTTGCTTTTCTAATGTATTTAAGACGATACATTGTAACAATCAAAATAAAAGTGTGGTCAATTATCATAATCATTTTATCTTCTGTTTTTTTTTTATCTAAACATAAAAAAACCCTGCAAAAATGCTGATAGCCTGCGCAAGCACTATGATAAATATTAACAATTTAAAATTATTGTTTTATTATTGTAAAATAACAAACAATTCACTGAGAGGCTTAAATGGTATAAGAATGACAAAACATAACAAAAATGATGTTATTGCAAAGTAATACTTTTGGGCATTTCCATTTCTGTGTGTGATTTTTTATTTTTCTTTGTTTTAGCAATTAAAAGCTGGGACTTTATGCAATATGCATACTATTTTGATTTTCTTAAAGAACAATTATAACAAAAATATTTTTATCATATTTTAGGCTATCTAAATAAATAAATATACACATTTTTACAATTTTATTTTTTTGAGTAATAATATTGCTACATTTTGAAAAATATACAATAATTTTCAAAACGCCATACTCTAGCTAGAAATAATTGATGACTGCCGTTTCTCATCGAAAATATATTAAATATGAGTCGCAGAAGTATAATATTTAAATTGAAATACTCACAAGCAATTTATTTTCATAAAAATAACTACATGAAATTTACAAATTTGCAACATCTGTGCATGATCATTCATAAACTGCATTTAAACGATTGCTGTGACTCTATGATTCATAGTGCAATCCTGTAACTTTTTGGAAATCTTTACTAATGTTTAAAATATTATTTAAAAAAAAAAGTATATCGGTAAAACTTTTCCAAGGAATTAAAGTTTATTTATCTAGTAACTAAAATAGAAGTTTTTCTGTTCCATGCATGATTCCATTTCAAACTTTATTTATTCTTTGTTAACATTACTAATGCTTACTATTTTTTGTTTACAAAATATTTATATTGATTAGAATTAAATGAGAGTAAATTGGAGATCGCTAGTTTTATTTTTATGAAAATAAAAGTAAAGACATATACAAGTTTCCGTGCTTGATTTTTTGGAAATGCCCTTTTAAGTTTTTATAAATTCAAATTCAACCTAATATTTTCAAAAGATTTGAAAATATTACATTGCAATGACATCATTTTTATAAGGTTTACAATAATTTTTTTCATATAATCAAATCAAATGTATACATATAGTACAAGTACTAAATTTAAGTAAACACCATAATGAAAAACTAAAAAAACATAAAAACTACAATAATTAAATGAAAAATTTTATGTAATAATAATAAAATAAAAAGTTTTATATATTTAGAACAACGATATATTTATAAAAATATATTTATAATGGTTTATTGTTTATATATTAGTATACGTGCATTTAGTTTATTTATGTCTATAGTTCGAATCCCACCATTAACATTTATTTATTGTTTTTCTTGTAAGTACCGCTGGTCATATATTTGCTTTGTAATCGTTTATCTTTTCTTTTTTGTATCTTTCTGTTAGAACTTTGAAATCTTTCTGTTGTATGTTTTTGAATGATATATATGTCTTTACCTTCTTTACATTTCTTATACCATTTAAGCCTCTCAGTGAATTTTCTGAGTAAGGCGAACATACATATATACATAGTTTTTAAGCTTTCGATAGGCCATGCTGTATTCACATAGCCTTAATTTGTTCCATATTACCTTTCTGTAAATTTTATATACCAATATTTTGGCCCTTTATAATTTTGGATACCTGTTGCTTTTTAACATTCGATTCTCTGTGCTTTATTCCATTCACCCCCTACCTTTTGATCTACTATGTTATTGGTGAAAGATATGTAAACAACTATTGATAAAAATTATAATTAATTATTATGCAATTATTATTAATAATTATCAATAATTGTTTAAGTATATTTCACAAATAACATAGTAGACCAAAAAGAAAGGTTAAAAACTAGAAAAAAAAGGGAAATAGTGGGATTTAAACCACGAACATTCCGCATATGAAGTAAACACCTTATCTAAGTAAGCTGTACAAAAAAAAACTATACAAAAAAATGTATGCATTACATAGACATATAGGGACAATATATATTTGTTACATTAAATTTATGCAAATATATTTTACAAACGGATAGCAATTTATATTTTTGCTTTCCTTATCCAATTTCATTACTGTAAACAACAACCACCCTAAAGAAACAAAAATTAAAACAGTAAACAAATTTTTTAAATTTTTTATATTTAAATTTATTTTAATTTCCTATTTTGTTAATTTCGTTTTTTTTTTTTTGAAACTTTTAAACAGCCGTGATCAAATTGTCTAAAATAAAAAACTCATTTGGGGACATACAAGACAAAAAACCGCATGCATTTCCTGGGAAGACTTTGTGTAATGTTTTTCATAATGCTTTTCCAAATATCTCCATCAAACTTTTAAAGTATTGCTTACAGAAATTATTTTTTTTTAATCTACTCCAGGTCAGGTTAATGCTCCAGCCTCTATTGCTAAAGCCAGGTCTCAATTAAACTTTTCTATAACTTGTGGTCTAGACAACGTTCCTATCATAGCCTTTCAAAAGTGGATTTTCTAAAATTAATTTTTTACAACCCAATGCCCTTTTAAATGTTAACCAGTTTTGTAGATCATGAATTTTTAATATTATACTATCATGAAGAAATGAAAAAATAAAAAAGAGGAGTTCAAGAGGAGATTTGATTAGATTTTTAACTTATTATAGAATAAGTTTTTAAAGAAGATTTTTGAATTAAGAGGACTTAGGAGGATTTTTGAGGAGCTGTAGCCACCATGCAAATTATATATATATATATATATATATATATATATATATATATATATATATATATATATATATATATATATATATATATATATATATATATATATATATATATATATATATATATATATATATATATAATATATATATAAATATATATACTATAAATATATATATATATAATATATATATATATATATATTA